TGCCCAGCGTTAACGCCAAAGCCGACGTTGCCTCGTTAACGTCATTCCTCAGAAAAGGGGACAGGCCCTGATACCATGCATTCTGTCGCACTTGGCGACGTATATGGTGCGGGCAATCTGTGCCGATGAAGACACAGTCAGGAATCTGTTACGTAGGTGCAAGGCCCTGATACCAGTCTGTCGCACTCGGCGACGTATATGGTGCGAGCAGTCTGTGCCGATGAAGACACAGTCAGGAATCTGTTACGTAGGTGCAAGGCCCCGATACCAGTCTGTCGCACTCGGCGGCGTATATGGTGCGGGCAGTCTGTGCCGATGAAGACACAGTCAGGAATCTGTTACGTAGGTGCAAGGCCCTGATACCAGTCTGTCGCACTCGGCGGCGTATATGGTGCGGGCAATCTGTGCCAATGAAGACACAGTCAGGAATCTGTTACGTAGGTGCAAGGCCTTGATACCATTCTGTCGCACTCGGCGGCGTATATGGTGCGAGCAGTCTGTGCCGATGAAGACACAGTCAGGAATATGTTACGTAGGTGCAAGGCCCTGATACCAGTCTGTCGCACTCGGCGACGTATCTGGTGCGGGCAATCTGTGCCGATGAAGACACAGTCAGGAATCTGTTACGTAGGTGCAATTAAGGCCCTGATACCAGTCTGTCGCACTCGGCGACGTATATGGTGCGAGCAGTCTGTGCCGATGAAGACACAGTCAGGAATCTGTTACGAATGTGCAAGGCCCTGATACCAGTCTGTCGCACTCGGCGACGTATATGGTGCGAGCAGTCTGTGCCGATGAAGACACAGTCAGGAATCTGTTACGTAGGTGCAAGGCGCTGATACCATTCTGTCGCACTCGGCGACGTATATGGTGCGGGCAGTCTGTGCCGATGAAGACACAGTCAGGAATCTGTTACGTAGGTGCAAGGCCCTGATACCAGTCTGTCGCACTCGGCGACGTATATGGTGCGAGCAGTCTGTGCCGATGAAGACACAGTCAGGAATCTGTTACGTAGGTGCAAGGCCCTGATACCAGTCTGTCGCACTCAGCGACGTATATGGTGCGAGCAGTCTGTGCCGATGAAGACACAGTCAGGAATCTGTTACGTAGGTGCAAGGCCCTGATACCAGTCTGTCGCACTCGGCGGCGTATATGGTGCGGGCAGTCTGTGCCGATGAAGACACAGTCAGAAATCTGTTACGTAGGTGCAAGGCCCTGATACCAGTCTGTCGCACTCGGCGACGTATATGGTGCGAGCAGTCTGTGCCGATGAAGAGAAATCTGTTACGTAGGTGCAAGGTACGGAGACAGCGGTCGTCAGTGGCGGTTGTGACGCGAGGTCTTACACTTTGCGGCCGGTCTTCAGTTCTGCCAGTCATCTTGTAACGCTATAGCAACTGTCAGTGTCAGTCCATGATTCTTGCGACGTGCACAAAATCTTTGCAATTTCACGATGTCATCAACGTGTTATTGTTCAAGGACTCGGCATATAATCTCGGCAATTAAATGCCCCAGCTTTCCCCCCTCTACCCGACTCATTGATATATTATTGACCTAAAACGACGATAGTAAGATTTTGTTTCCTGTTTCTGTAAACGTCATACTGCTCTCTTGGCTCATCATGAAGTCGGGCCGGGACGGACCAACGTTATTATTGGTTAATTACTTCTGAATCATTATGGACGGCCATACATACATGCTATTGGTTTAACATACACATTTGGCATTATTGAACAATTGCAAACGACAAAACTGCAACAAAATTAAGTTATTGCGAGTAAGTCCCTTAAGAACCAGAAAGTCGAGCAGTTTGCGAATTCGTTAAACGAATCAGGATTTGAAACGTATTATATACTTCCAGCTTTCAAATGTTAAGGGCTTACACAGTTTCGGGCCAATACCCAAAATGTCAGTCAATACCTGGTGTGACCACCATTAGCATTGATCACTGCCACGCATCTCCTGTACATTGAGTGGATCAGACGATGTGTGAAGGCCCTAGGGATCCTCCTGCACATATCCAAAGCAGCTGTGCGTAGTTCATCGGCAGTTGTAGGGTCTGGGCGCACATTGTGCAGACGCCTTTGAACCTCATCCCACAAGTGTTCGATGGGGTTCAGATCAGGGCTGAGGACTGGCCACAGTAGAACACGGATGTTGCGTTGTTGCAGAAAGGCCATGATAGCTCTGGCAACATGGGGACGAGCGTTGTCCTGCTGGAAAATGTGTTGTTGATGTTGTGCAAAAAATGGAACAACGTGGGGTCTGATCACTTGGTCGATATACTGTTGAGCAGTGACGCCGTGTCCCCGACCTTGACCAACATTCAGAAAGCACATGGGTCCAAGTCTCGCATTGAGTCCAATCCCTGCCCATATCATGACGTTAGGTCCACCCCATGGATCCCTTTCCACAACGTTTCTGTCAGCGAAACGATCACCTCGACGTCGCCAAATTCTGGCTCTTCCGTCTGCATTGGAGACACAAAAGCGACTTTCATCAGATGACGCCAATTGCGATGACCCTGTGCCCACTGAAGTCGTGCTTGTCGATGCCGTGGTTGGAGAACAGGACGACGTGCTGGTCGGCGACATCTGAGGTTGTTGGAACGGAGACGTCGGATCACAGTGTCCCGGCTAATGTGTCGATTATGTGTTCCTATGGTCTGTCGAGCACTTTCACTTGCAGTTAGGAACGGATGTCGCTGGTGTTTACGGGTAATCTGCCGATCTTGTCGAGGTGTGGTGACCCTAGGACGACCGCTCCGTGGAAGGTCATCTGTGGTCTGTGTAGCATTGTATCGATGCAGGAGACCGTAAATTGTGGTTATGTTAACGTTGAAAAATCGGGCACCATCTTGGACAGACTCTCCAGCTTCCAAACGTCCGATAGCCTGGTTTCTCTGAATTTGAGTTAGGCGTGGCATAGTTGGCCAAGGAGTGGTAGGTCCAAAAATTGGCCACAGGTTTATACCCACTACAGTTCGTGACAATTCGTGCATTTTCGATTTCGCGGGAAATGGGTGCATGATACCCACATATTCATTGAAATGGTGCGTTTTGGCGATTCGTTTTTTATGTTGCGTTTTTACTTGGGGCTTCCAAAATGCAACCAAAACTATTGATAACACCATCAGGCTTCACTACATGCAAAAACTCGTATCAATTTATGGTTCCGTGTTTGTTACCTATTTGCTTAAATCCACTTGCGTTTCTTTTGCGTGTGAGTATATTTTACGACCTGTGAATATCCGGGTTAGAATAGGTCTTCAGCTACCCCGGTTTGCAGAAAAAGGGACTAACGGGACCTGATGGACAGGCTTGCTGACTTGGTTGGTGTTCGTCATCGTATCCCAATGGCGTAGATCGATGTTCATGGTGTCAGTCACTGGATTGTCTAGTCCAGACTCGATTATTTTTAGACCGCCGTCATATAGCTGGAATATTGCTGAGTGCGGCGTTAAACAACAAACACAAAAAAACACAAATTAAATGACTGACACATACAGTTTAAAAAATCAACAGAACCATCAGTCATGCAAGTTTTTAAACTTAATTGCCCGAGACGAAAACAGCCTGTCTCGGACGGTCGGGTAGGCAGGTATCTCAAACGCAGCTTGTTGATGTCACAGATCGTGGTATTTGAGCAAACACGTTGAAAAGGCCCTTTTCCTCTACATTCTCACCATAATTACTATCAGTTACGGTGGCCCATAAGGGACATGGAGTCTGTTTATCCATATTTTGATATTTCACGTCCTGTTGCAAATTAACACGATTTGTCATACAAATATGTGATAAATCATGTATAAAAACAACTGAAAACATGGAAAATGTACTTTCAAGTAGCTATTGAGTCGCTGAAATGTGAAGCGAAAATGTCAAAAACTAAAATGGAAATGTCAAAAACCAAAACGAAAATGTCAAAAACAAAAGCGAAAATGTCAAAAACTAAAATGAAAATACAGAAAACTATTTCCACCGCGGTGTAAATAGTTTTCACCGCGGTGGAAATATTATCACCGCGGTAGAAATAGTTTTCACCGCGGTGTAAATATTATCACAGCGGTGGAAATAGTTTTCTGTATTTTCATTTTAGTTTTTGACATTTTCGCTTTTGTTTTTGACATTTTAGTTTTTGACATTTTCGTTTTTGTTTTTTGACATTTTCATTTTAGTTTTTGACATTTTCGTTTCACTTTTCAGCGATTCAATATCTTCTTTACACATGATTTATCACATATTTGTAAGACAAAACGTGTTAATTTGCAAAAGGTAACGATAAAAGTAAGTGAAATATTAAAATATGCAAAAACAGACGCCATGTCCCTTATGGGCCACCGTAATCAGTAGCTTTTGGTTTATTAGCACCGTTTACCGAATGGCATTCCCTATTAGAAATATACCCCTACCATACATTATTAAATGAGAGAAAGACAAGCATTCAGGTTCACTGTTAACAATATTACTTTTACCAATCATACGCGTCGAGAGGTGGAGTAGCCTTGTTGTCCAAGCATTGGTTCGCCACACCAATGACCGGGTTCGTTACCCAAAACGGGGTCTGAAGCCAACTATTGGTGCCACTCACCATTTTTAAAATTTCTAAAGAGGCGTTACACCCTACCATCTTCTACACTCGTGAACACATATGCTGACCCGTATGTGACATCGCCTCCATCAACATCGTCATCATCAATTTAGATTTCTTCATAGACAAGCATTTATTTAATCAATAAAACCGTATGAAATCCAAGGTCTGTTTGCTGTCACCCAGACGTAAATATTAATTACATAATGTTACAATACCAGGCGGATCCAGAGGGGTGTGCTCACCCCACCCCATTTTCATGTACCTTACATGGAACATTATCTGCCATGTATGACATACTTATTCGTTAAGGTCGACAAAATGGCTGCCCATCTAACTTAATATTAACCCAGCGTTGCAACTTCTGATAACGCTACCTATTGACGTCACTCAATATAACAAACACAGGGTGTATAGAAACGTTTATATAAAACGCATTGCACAGATCTATGTCATGGTTGGTACTCTTGTTCTTCCACTCTGAGATTCTGAGGTCATGTTAGTAAAAGCGAACACATCGTAGCGGTGTGTCTATGTTCAACATAGAGGGTAGTCATGGTAACGCAGTCACTCCTGTTCCTGGCATTCCTTCCAGTAGTTGAACCCTTTTACCAAATGCCAGCTCCTGTGAAAGAAAGGACGATATGTGAAGAGTCACGATGTTCTTCCAGACCATGACAAAAGCAAATCACTTCCTCATCAGAAGCCTGTTAGCCAAATAAACTTTTGAAGAAAGGGGCGTGTGCCACGCCATGTCATGCGATTTGGGCGGGATCTGACCAGTGCTGTAGCGAGCCGGGGGCAGTCCCCCTAGATTTGTTATACATTCATTTGCGGCCTTGCTGACGTCTGTTAAGCTTCATTTCATAATAAACAAAAGTAAACATTTATATACACTGTGGTCTCCCGAGTTTTGTAACAGTGTCAGCTGGCACAGTATCCCTATAAGCAGCTGTATATTATCACAATCACAATCACAATCACAATCACAATCACACGTCTGAGTCAACTTCCGACTCATTTTGTCGTCGTTTTGAGAGATAAGTGAAGCATGTATGCTACAGATCACCTTCTACCAATTTAGTGTTTCAACCAAAACACCCGCTGTTTCAACTATGCAATACCTATTGCGATATTGCGGAAATCTTAAACTTCGCACGCACTCTCCTATGTTTACCTACGTTTATTATTACTTGAAATGAAGCTTCACTGACGTCAGGACACTCAGAATATATCCCTATTGGATGTTTAGTAGTATAAGGTAGTCATCATCTCGAAAATAGTTAGCGTCCCGTCAGTTCTGGCCGAGGTATTTTCTATTGGTCGGAGATGCGCCAATTGAATTATTTAAATTATATGTATCAAAATTTTACTGTCTACAAACAGTAGTGGGTGTGGGATCCCCCTTAACTCCCCCTTTAGATCCGCCTTATACGCCACGTGGCGATATAACGATCTTTCACTGGGCACAAGAAATGTTTGCCATCCTGAAACTGGATCAACTCATATCGAAACGAGCTGTACTTTACGTGCGCTTTGGTGGTTTACATACTCAAGAAACCCATATCGTAACTCCCATACCTCAACATAGACTTACGATAGTCGCAGCACTAAGGTTGTTTTGTATACAGGTAACCTCACAATCAAACCAGCGGATCTACCACAATCCGTACAGCTGAAAACAAAAGCGGTAGGTTTGGTGTTGGTTTCACTGTATCCTGTTTTCCTTATTTTGGATTTGGCATTTCGATTACATCCCAAGACGACTCTATGGGACAAACAGATTATGAAATTCCAACGCAGTTGAAATCAGCAAACCCCTTAATGCCAATTCACTTATGCGAACGGACCCCTGAAGATCCGGGGTAGAATAGGTCTTCAGCACCCATGCTTGCCGAGAAAGGCGACTATGCTTGTCGTGAGAGGCGACTAACGGGATCGGGTGGCAAGGCTCGCTGACTTGGTTGATGCATGTCATTGTATCTCAATTGCGTGGATCGATGCTCATGATGTCAATCACTGGATTGTCTGGTCCAGACTCGATTATTTACAGACCGCCGTCATATAGCTGGAATTTTGCTGAGTGCGGCGTTAAACAACAATCAAACTTATGTGAACTGCTTCAGCGCATGTGTCGAATCGGCGTGGCGAGTGCATCGCGTCCGACTCTACGTCCCATGTTTAGTTGAAGTGAATTCGTCTATTGCACGCGGAACGCCAGCTGTCCCCAAAAGTGATGTTGACACCAGCTGCTCTAATGGTTAGTTAGTGTCAAAGGCTCAAAAATCTTTTTTTAAAGGCTGAATAAACACAATAAAATGTTTTCAGGCATATCTTTCTCGAAAGTGAGAATGGCGGAAGGACTGTACTTATACTTAAAATTTTAGTGATACGGGAGGTACATTTTTTTAATTTTCCTTACTCTGAGTTCCCAAAACACAACTGGACACTCGTTGACCTCGGTCCTTTAATACAATGCCAGTTGTCAAGTATGATATTTTATGGTTTTATAAGAGAGTGCCCTTAAAATAAGGCGTAAAATCTGAAAAATCTTTATTTCTCTTACAATAAAAATGAATGATGCGTAGGATTTAAAGTGATAAGGCGATGCTAGATTCTTTATGTATCTGTAACGACAGATTATGTCCCAACAAACACCTAAGTTTAGGAGCAGTTGCAGATCTGCTACAGGGTGAAAGTATATCCACCAGAATACTTCATTCAAGGGAAGTAACTCCCCTCGCTTGAAGACGCACCTCTTCTACAAATGAACACTGTTATCATTTTTGTATTTACGTGAGGGTAGTTCATGCTAAATACGGTCAGTAGGAGCCATGTTATACATAACGTAAATGGCATGAGATCGACCCAGTCGTCCCATAAACGTCACTTGTCTGGAATTGGGTTAGTATCAGTGGTAACTTAACTATCCTCTATTAGCCAGTGGATTATATCTCCATTCTGTTGCGCTAAATACCCTCGACACATTGAGGGCCTGATTCGTATTGAACTATGCTAAAACAGCTGTCCAGTCAAATTACTCTCATGAGCGCTTCAGGAACACATGTCGTAAGAAACGACTAACGGGATCGGGTGGTCAGGCTCGCTGACTTGATTAATGCTTGTCATCGTATTACAATTACGTGGATCGGTGCCCATGATGTCAATCACTGGATTGTCTGATCCCGATTTTTTACAGACCGCTGAGTGCGGCGTTAAACAACACGAAAACTAGTACTACCACTACTACTACTTCTACTACTACTTCTACTACTACTACTACTACTACAACTGGTCTGGTCTCGATTATTTAGATACCACCGTCATATAGGGGAATATTGCTGAGTGTGGCGTTAAACAACAAACAAACAAATAACATGAGAAAGCGAACTTCTGTGCTAAATAGGATAGGATATTGAAGCTTGAGAGGACTTTTCTAAAACGAAGCTACATGTATCCTGAACAAATGCACGGTCTTCGTATCTTTTTACGCAACATCCTCAACAATATAGCGGCTGTGGGGTGTAGATTTTGGTGTATAAAAACAAGAAGCTCGTCATTATCTTTTTCACAGATACAGCCCTGCCACTGTAAAAGGGGATGATCCGTTAAAGTTTCATCAAGAAAGCTTAATAATAAAATAAGTTAATGTGTTTGTAATGTAAGGGACGGATGAACTGACGGAAAGCTCACCTGAATTTTGGTGAGCTAAAAACAAAATTTCAGCAAATACATCTCACCTCTTAAATCCGAGTTCTCTTGTCAGCATCACCGCACGGTAGCTCCGATTGCCACTAGCACAGAAAAGGATAACCGTCGCCTTTGTCGCATCTGGCTTTTCTCTTCCATACAAACTCTTGTAGGCACGAGGCGCCATCTCGAGAGCAGATTCCAGTTCGCCTACTGTAAACATGGAAACAAGTTAGACATGTGAAGACAAAATATCTATCCGTAAGCTTTTTGGTTGAAAAAGAAAGTCGAAATTTTAGTTCTTTCTATTCGTGACAGCTCGCCATTTCCACAACCTGGGAGAAGGCTTGTCCCGAAATGACCCAGGAAGATATCAAATCGTGAAACAGCTTGCCATAAAATATATCTCTATGTCCTCCAAGTCCGACAACATCTCCTCGACGACACACGATTGCCCATTGACGTAAGACACCGCCAAATGGCGAAATGGAAATGAAAAATTGTAAGTTTAATTTTCATTCTAATTTTAATCCACTGGTGAAAATAATATTCATATATGTATCAATAAGTAAATCTCGGCTAAAACACCTCATGTAGTACCGTACATATCCATATAATGACGCAACAACTTACATGGTATGTTCACTGCCTCCGGAATACTTCCTCTCTCAGCAAGCTCTTGGGGCTCACGGATGTCAATAAGATACGGGTCCCCCTTCTCCATGATCGATACCAACTGTGTGACGTCAATGTTGACGTCATCGACGGGGAGTTCGGTGGAGTACCATCGGCTCGGAGTAAAACATATCCCTACAACAATATATTATTTTTATTATTATTATTATTATTATTATTATTTTCAGATTACAAATAGAAAATGCAGCAAAGCGGGTTTGGGTGATCCTGGCACAGTCAGGCTGGTTAGGCTCATCATCAGCTCAGGGCCCTTGCCCCCTCTACACGCAGCCCAGACAGCGAATGGGACTCTCCCGGGAAGCGCTGCCCAGTCGAACCCACCCAGAACTTTAAGGAGAATGTGAAGACTCCCCAACACTGCAGCCTTCTGAAATTACCCAGATTGTCAGAAGGGTTGTATTCCTGGTAGCAAACCCGGGTACTCTCCCGATGTCAGCAAACAGATTGGGAGGTACCAAACCTAACGCACCGAGAACAATGGGGAGTCGGACAACTTGGTACATGGGATGCAAGCGTGACATTTCGAAAGGGAGGTCCGCATATTTGCCATGTTTTTCCTCAATCTTTCCTGAATTATTATATAATATTATTATTGTTGTTGTTGTTATTATTGTTGTTGCTGCTGTTGCTGTTATTATTATTATTATTATTATTAACCATCATCCTTAAAATAGACGAGTTAGTAATATTTCATAAGAAACAGGTGTAACATCGTTCCAGGGGTGCCTTCCCATAGAAATTATTTCCCAATTCAGATTTAACTTGACAGTTTGTACGCTATTCGCATGTTTTTATTTTACTGACAAAGCCGAAACGATGACTACTAACTACAGGCCTGTAATTATGCTGATAATAGACACGTGCCTCTCAAACCATCACTAAAACACACACCATTCAGGATACTAGCATCTTCAGACAGAGAGTGCAATTTGGATTTTTACGTCTGGCCAAAGGGAGATAACTCCTCCATACCTCACTACATTCCTTTCATGACCAAATGTAGGCGTCACATACGCGCTCGTCTATTCCTGTTGTAAAAGTATTGAACCTCTCTCATATAAATATTTTCTATTGTACAAATGTATATTTGGCAAGCCATTCAACTCATTCATGCTCAGATGTTCATCTTTTATTTGCAAATTAGTAATGTTTAAATAAGATATAACATTACATGAAGAAAACTGAGAAGACGAAGGTGGTTTTCGGATGACGGTAATTGCAACAATGAATTTCTCAGGCATACTCAGGTAAGAGTGGTATTTTGACACTATCTTTCCAATGCTTGAAAAGACATTTTTTTACTCATTTATTTCATGACTGAATGTGTCCTTTCACGGACAACGCTAACAATAGTACATACATTTTATATGAATTAATTACCACAAAATCATGAAGGAATGCAATGTCCGCCATGTCTGGAGAAGTATACAAGTATTTCTAAACATATACCATCAACACAGGCCATCTTAATATTCAAAACCCCGTTGGGATTCCAAAGTAGCCTATGTATGTCTGAAGAGGCGGGGGCACGGGTGGCCCAGTCGTCTAAAGCGCCGCGATTCGCTGTGCAGAGTTGCGTCCCTTGGACACGCCAGAAACCTATGATCGTGGGTTCGAATCCCGATTCGCCCCGATTCTGTTTCTAGGTTTGACAGCACCAAACCCGAGCTCGTGGGTTTCACCGAAGTGGTAAACGTCTGAAACCTGCATCACTTCGGGCTTTCCTCCCACATTAAGCGGACACGCCGCGATATAACTGGAATACTGTTAACAGCGGCGTTAAACCCGACTCACTCACTCACGACTTCATGGATGTAGATGCCAGCCTGGGCAACTGGCACCCCCGCCCCGTTATATGCTAATAAAGCAAATCATCGTCGTTAATGCACTAGTTTTGGAAGCATGTGACAGCTGGTACACATTAATTTTATATCCCCGAGCAATGTCTGACGAAGCCATAATTTGATAGCTTTCATTTTTGTAAAAAAATACTATCATTTGAACACCAAGACAAATTTGAATGCCCTGAGCAAATTCACCCATCTCTGTACTATGTGACCAACCATGAGACGAGGGACCTTATGGGTGAAAAATCACATTTTGACTTTTCATTATATTTTAAACTACAGTATCTTTTGAACAGAAAAATACAATTCACAAACTTCAATTCATATATTACAGAGATAAATGACATCAAATATTTGGACTCGTTTTCCGACTTAGAATTGTTTATGTAATAATTGCAGTTTTTAGACATAATGCCTGGTGATTTGAAAGAAGACATGTATGCTGTAAGAGTTTTGACATTATGTTTTTATGACATCACTAACTAACGAGAGAAAAAATAGATATGTTTGTACAGTCCATACATATTGTGATCTTCACTGAATTAGGTTGACGTCAAACTTTTATGACGTCATAAGCACTACTGTATCCTAGTACATAGCTCGAGATAAGCTTTTGGTGTTGTGGGTATTTTACCAATGCATTTAAAAATCATTGGGTATCAGTAATTCTATCTGGGTATTTAAATTTCTGTTACCCTCTAGTTTTTACACATGTGGGTATTTAAGTTAAATATTTAAAAACACTATTCATCTAGTCCCTGCAAACTGGTGTCGTGTGGGTTCGAGAGCTTTATAGGACTCAAAAATACCATGATACTTCTACAAGAAAGTGTGATGGCAAATGATCATGATGTAACTGTCATCGAGGAGTTTGGCAAGGTTGGCGGAATGTCCGTATATAATTTCAAAATAAGTTGCTGATTTGCTAATCGAATACGCAGGGTTACTTCACAATATTTTGATGATACGCACAAGGTTTATTTTTGCAGCGTATCTGTAATGTTCGTTGCGTATTTGATACGCTTGAATATTATTTCACTGCGTATTTCTGCATTTCTGATGCGTATTTTACGCAGATACGCAGCTTATCTGGAGCTGTGCCTAGTACCCATGAGGACCCTTTTCTCCTGTTGGGTCTCAAAGTAGTTACATGTCCTCATTACAAGTTCTAATAATTCTGTACAAAATATATTTTATTAATCTGTTATGCTAAAAATATGTTGTTGTTTTTTATGTCTTAACTGCAGCATAAACTACTCTGGTCTATGACAAACACATTTCTAAGTATCGCAAATGGACTAAGTTGTCCGGAACACAATATCACATAAAATAAAGGTATGTGAATAATTTGTTTTGAAAACGGTAATTAATTAGTTTCTTTTTCAACTCCGTGTAGAGCATACAAGATATATTACACAGAAAGTCTTTCTGGAAAGCCAGGTCTTGTCATTGCTCAAATGTACGGAAGTCGCAGTCATGTACGTCAACAAACGCACGTGTACTTTGAACCTATCATCCAACATGGCCCTACAAGTAACAACATCAATTTACATAACACATTTCTGTTAACAGATTACACTGTGGCGTGGAACAGACAATCTACATTTTTCTACTGTTATTAAATAAACGCATATAGCCAAAATTAATTTCAATACTCTGGATTATATTCATACTCATTTATACCCATCTCCTGACGCCATTCTGGTGAGGTTTGCGCCGTTTCGACGTATGGCGACCTTCGAGAAAGGGACTAGCCTTCTTATAGTGTTGGTTACGGAAAGATGCGAGTGGGAACGAATGTAGGTTACGGAAAGATGCGAGTGGTGACGAATGGCGTCACTATTATTTTTGACATGAGTCTACAATGTTGGGACAAGGGAGTGACATACAGTTACTATGTTGATGAATTAGAATTAATTCAATATTATATGAGGGGACTGAGCTATTATCAAACATTTCACTCATAACTGCGTTTTGTGAGAGTTTAAGGGTATCAAACTTTCTGCTCGACCACACAACACATACTTAATTAGAAGTAAGGTGGTGTCCGCATATATGGCTTACTTATATTTATTAACAATAAAATAATCAAACTATAAATAAATTCTTAAATGGCTCAGACTGTGATGGTTTGTAAACTAAAATTAATTACTACTGTACATAAATGGTGTGAGTCTCCAGAAATATATCATGTAATAAAGGTGTACAATTTTGGGAATCATATCGTTTACATACTTGATATATTTTAATTGAAAAATATATTTACCAATTACGTAAATAATATGGACACAAAGTCATAGTTAATGGCAATATGTGTGGAAAAGAAGGAAGCAGTGAAACTCGAACCAAATCAATAATATGAGATTTTAAATTAGGTTTAGTTTGACAAACCTGTGATGTTTTCAGACAGACGGCCTTCACTGCTAACATTAGTCGTCTTCCAAGTAGTATGTTGTCTTGACGACAAGGGCAAGCGCGCCGAATGAGATAACGCTGAATACCGCTGTGAAAGCCTGTGGGCGTAACCGTCGTTCAGTTTTTGTGATCTGGATCTACTTAGCAGTCGTAAACTACAGACTGTCTTCGTGAAAATGCGCCTTGACTGGTAGAAGTTCATATCGACATACGGTATTAGTATCCGCTCAGTTGATCGGATCTCTTCAAGGTGAAGGCCATACGCTTAAAGTGTATTTGCCGTACAACTATTGTAAACCAATGTGACTTTTATGTTTTTTAATCGATATCGTCTTTTGGTAAACGTTTTCTTGTTTGAAAGAACGCTTTCTTATTTGGAACCTTAAAAAACCGAGTTTAGAATCAATGTATTATTTAATTACAATAATGGTGATGATTAAATAAGTATTGTGAAGACCAAAACAAATACAGTGGCTATATCGAGTGCTGGCGGGATAACATGTCGGATATGAATTCAATGATAAAGTACAGAGTAATGAATGATATAAATAACACACATTCCGAAGCTGCAGATGTGAAATGAACGTAAGCCGGGGCCTATTCACAACTGCCGGTTACGCGTATGATTTCATGATTGATGCTCACCGGAAGGTGCGCACTCTCGCGCAGTGATGACTTTGCACTACACCACAACATAATTTGCATACCACGTAGCCGGACTTTGTAAACAAACGCGCTATGTTGAAATCAGAGCAGTCTGGCCTCATAGGAGCAGTTCACTGCGGTTTACATATTGTTTGCGCTACTACAACAGCAACAGTGAGCATGACCCTATACAGTAAACTACGGTTATAACGAACTCAATTGGACTACTAATTTTAGTTCGTTATAACCGTAATTCGTGATAAGCATATATACAGCATAACTACAGCAAATAGTCGGGGCCCAAAAAAGTAAGTTCGTTATATCCGTCAGTTCGTTATAAGCGTAGTTTACTATATCTTTGCATAACACAGTGAGGGTGTCGCCACATTGTAGCTCACCATAGATTTTGTTTTTGTTTGTTTGTTGTTTAACGTCGCACTCAGCAATATTCCAGCTATATGACGGCGTTCTGTAAATAATCGAGTCTTGACCAGATAATCCAGTGATCGACATCATGAACATGGGTCTACGTAATTGGGATACGATGACATGCATCAACCAAGTCAGCGAAGCTGGCCACCCAATCCGGTTAGTCGCCTCTTACGACAAGCACATTCACCTTTTACGGCAAGCATTGGTTGCCAAAGACCGGATCTTCACGGGTTATGTTAGCTTACCATAGATCCTCGATGACAGCACCGTGCAACCATTAATACAATAGTATTTCGCAAACGAACATAATTTTTCACGTTTTATAATATTTTCTCAAGGAAAGTTTATGATCGCATGTCATATATTTTTCTAAATTCATAAATGAAACAGGTGAAAACTAATCATTTATTTGATTTGTTGGATGGACTGTGTACGACGATTCGAATCGATCGTCATATGTATCTCGTTTGCCAGTGGCAGAGATAAAAGGTTCACTGCAAGGAAGTCTGCGTAGGTGGCTGTGGTATACCTGTGTTTGAAGTATTTCATTGTTGAGAAATCAATCTCGAATACCTACAATTTCACCTGAAAAACATTCTCTCAAACGGATTTTATTTTAAGTCCAACGTACGAAATCTGAAAAAAAACATTATCTTAATGACTAATGATTTACACTTCATCAAACATCTTATTCACACACAAAAAACAACAACAACAAGTCAATGTCATACAATAGTAGGTGTTCGTTACGAAAAACGAAACATATATATGTTTTGTAAACACTGTTCCCATGATGCATGCTGCATAACACATGCATTAAAGATGTGGTGAACGCCATAGAATTGTCAAGTCATGGTACATTTACAGCGTTAGAAATTGGCACTAGTCCTATAGTCCTTGCCAAACTGCCAAATGGTAAAGATATCATAAGGACTAGTAGAAATGTGCCCTTTTCAAGGGTTTTGCTATATGTTATCATTATGAGGACTAGTGGACGAAAACTGTTAGTTTCTAACCCTGCTTTACACCTGTGAGGTGACACAGGACATTTACACCTGTGAGATGACACAGGACATTTACACCTGTGAGGTGACACAGGGCATTTACACATGTGAGGTGACACAGGGCATTTACACCCGTGAGATGACACAGGGCATTTACACCCGTGAGGTGACACAGGGCATTTACACCTGTGAGATGACACAGGACATTTACACCTGTGAGGTGACACAGGGCATTTACACCTGTGAGGTGACACAGGGCATTTACACCTGTGAGATGACACAGGACATTTACACCATTGAGATGACACAGGACATTTACACCTGTGAGGTGACACAGGGCATTTACACCTGTGAGGTGACACAGGACATTTACACCATTGAGATGACACAGGACATTTACACCTGTGAGGTGACACAGGGCATTTACACCTGTGAGGTGACACAGGGCATTTGCACCATTGAGATGACACGGGGCATTTACACCTGTGAGATGACACAGGGCATTTACACCTGTGAGGTGACACAGGGCATTTACACATGTGAGGTGACACAGGGCATTTACACCCGTGAGATGACACAGGGCATTTACACCCGTGAGGTGACACAGGGCATTTACACCTGTGAGATGACACAGGACATTTACACCTGTGAGGTGACACAGGGCATTTACACCTGTGAGGTGACACAGGGCATTTACACCTGTGAGATGACACAGGGCATTTACACCTGTGAGGTGACACAGGACATTTACACCATTGAGATGACACAGGACATTTACACCTGTGAGGTGACACAGGGCATTTACACCTGTGAGGTGACACAGGGCATTTGCACCATTGAGATGACACGGGGCATTTACACCTGTGAGATGACACGAATATTTACACCTGTGAGATGACACGGGGCATTTACACCTGTGAGATGACGCAGGGCATTTACACCTGTGAGATGACACAGGACATTTACACCTGTGAGATGACACAGGACATTTACACCTGTGAGATGACACAGAACATTTACACCTGTGAGATGACACAGGACATTTACACCTGTGAGATGACACAGGACATTTACACCTGTGAGATGACACAGGACATTTACACCTGTGAGATGACACAGGACATTTACACCTGTGAGATGACACAGGACATTTACACCTGTGGGATGACACAGCGCATTTACACCTGTGAGGTGACACAGGACATTTACACCATTGAGGTGACACGGGGCATTTACACCTGTGAGATGACACAGGGCATTTACACCTGTGAGATGACACGGGGCATTTACACCTGTGAGATAACACGGGGCATTTACACCTGTCAGATGACACAGGACATTTACACCTGTGAAATGACACAGGACATTTACACCTGTGAGGTGACACAGGACATTTACACCTGTGAGATGACACAGGACATTTACACCTGTGAGATGACACAGGGCATTTACGCCTTTGACGTGACACAGGGCATTTACACCTGTGAGATGACACAGGGCATTTACACCTGTGAGATGACACAGGGCATTTCCACATGTGAGGTGACACAGGGCATTTACACCTGTGAGACGACACAGGGCATTTACACCTGTGAGATGACACGGGGCATTTACACCTGTGAGATGACACAGGGCATTTACACATGTGAGGTGACACAGGACATTTACACCATTGAGATGACACAGGACATTTACACCTGTGAGGTGACACAGGGCATTTACACCTGTGAGGTGACACAGGACATTTACACCTGTGAGATGACACAGGGCATTTACACCTGTGAGGTGACACAGGACATTTACACCTGTGAGGTGACACAGGGCATTTATACCTGTGAGATGACACGGGACATTTACACCTGTGAGATGACACAGGGCATTTACACCTGTGAGATGACAGAGGGCATTTATACCTGTGAGGTGACACAGGGCATTTACACCTGTGAGATGACAGAGGGCACTTACACCTGTGAGATGACGCAGGGCATTTACACCTGTGAGATGACAGAGGGCACTTACACCTGTGAGATGACACAGGGCATTTACACATGTGAGATGACACAGGGCATTTACACCTTCGAGATGACACAGGGAATTTACACCTGTGAGATGACACGGGGCATTTACACCTGTGAGGTGACACAGGACATATACACCTGTGAGATGACACAAGACATTTACACCTGTGAGGTGACAGAGGGCATTTACACCTGTGAGATGACACAAGACTTTTACACCTGTGAGGTGACACAGGACATATACACCTGTGAGATGACACAGGGCATTTACACCTGTGAGATGACACAGGACATATACACCTGTGAGATGACACAGGACATATACACCTGTGAGATGACACAGGGCATTTACACCTGTGAGATGACACAGGGCATTTACACCTGTGAGGTGACACAGGACATATACACCTGTGAGATGACACTGGGCATTTACACCTGTGAGGTGACACAGGGCATTTACACCTGTGAGGTGACACAGGACATTTACACCTGTGAGGTGACACAGGGCATTTACACCTGTGAGATGACGCTGGACATTTACACCTCAGAAATGACACAGGACATTTACACTTGTGAGATGACACAGGGCATTTACACCTGTGAGATGACACGGGGCATTTACACCTGTGAGATGACACAGGGCATTTACACCTGTGAGATGACACAGGACATTTACACCTGTGTGATGACGCTGGACATTTACACCTCAGAAATGACACAGGACATTTACACTTGTGAGATGACACAGGGCATTTACACCTGTGAGATGACACAGGGCATTTACACCTGTGAGATGACACAGGACATTTACACCTGTGAGATGACGCTGGACATTTACACCTGTGAGATGACACAGGGCATTTACACCTGTGAGATGACACAGGGCATTTACACCTGTGAGATGACACAGGACATTTACACCTGTGAGATGAAACAGGGCATTTACACCTGTGAGATGACGCTGGACATTCACACCTGAGAGGCGACAGGATATTTACACCTGTGATGGGACAGGATATTAACACCTGTGAGTTTTACGCTGGAAATTTACACCTCAGAAATGACACATGACGTTTACAGCTGTGAGATGACACGACATTTAAACGTGTTTGGCAAGCGTCTCCAGCTTTTTCATATAACGTGTCACAAACAAGTTTATCGTCATTTTATCTGGCAACA